CTTGCATTTTTTAAATTAAGACAAAAAAAAAATTCATATAATTAAAAGGAATTTATATATTTAGTTAATTTAGATTGTCTGCTAGGTTATCATCTTAATTGTTTACATCCTCTGTATCATTGCAGGTTTGTGTAACTAGAATTTGTGTTATTTTAACTTGTCAGAATCACCAATGTCAGATTTTCTTTATTTTTTCATATATTTTAATAACGATAGGTCCATAATATTATCGTATTCTTTTTTTGACCAAAGAAGAATACAACAATTTTGTTGACAAGATTTACAACACAATAAGTAAGTGTATCATGGCGTTAAAAAGTGTATCTGGCTGCGTTGAAAGACGTTTATCTGCTAAAATATTTGTGACAATGCTAAAAGTTCTCACAACTTCAGAGTTCAATCCGGATATACACATAATTAGAGAAACTTGTAGACATATATTCAAAAACACACTAATTTTATGTTTAAAAATGGTGGTACTCAGTTTAAACTTAAAGTTTAAGTTTTTTCTCTGAAAGCCAGCATTTATTATTGGTATTTCAAAATTGTCACCAATTGCTTTGATTTCAGCCACTCTCGATTCCTCATCTTCTTTTATCCAGTGTAATGTAAGTAATCGTGAAATCTACATAAAAGTAAATCATAAAGTTTATAAAAATTCACTTTTTTTATTTCATGCATGTTCTGAATTATTATATCTTGATCAAACTTACTCATTTCTATGGTTGCATTTATATAAGTATGATTTTTATGGTGTTTTTGTTTGTCACCAGCTCAAAACAAAACTGAAAAAGAATTTTCAGTTTTGTTTTGATCATGACTAAATAGTGTATTACAAAGTTGTGATAAAATTTTTTCCCAATCTATTTTATTTTATCATTTGTTTCCATTAAAATTTGTTTAATAGCTGTGTCGGATCAGGGGAGGGGGCTCTAGCCCCAGGCCCCGCAAATTTAGGGGCCCCCAAAAATTTTAGAGGACCTTTTTTTTTTTTTTTATGAGTTGTTTTTAGGTTGTGGCCCATCAAAAGGCCTCAAAGACAAAAATAGTCCCGAGCCCCAAGAAGTCTTAATCTGCCACTGTTTGATAGTAGTCAGAATTTTGTGGGGTAACAACTCATTTTTTCGAAAATTTTCAAAGCTGGAATAATGTGCACACTTAATTGTTTTAAAAAAAGATTTTTAACAATTTGTAAAAAAAAAAAAACAATTAAGTTGTTTATTTAAAAAGTTGATATATATATACATTTTTTAAAAACATTTGTTATAAAAAATATGTGTTTATATAAATATAAAAATATATATATTATTCATTAAAATTTTTATAAAAAATTACTAGTGATTTGTTACTTTATTTAAATACATTTTAATAAAACATAAGTAAAGATCAAAGTTATTTAATTCAAATTGCTTTCAAAAAATTTACTCTTTCTTTTTCTTCTCATTATAATTATTATTTTTTTTGAGTGATTTAACTTAAATGATTCTTATATAAAATTTATTAAATAGACCAAAAAAAAAAGTTTTTTTTGATTTTTTTAAAATAATTTTTACTTTTTTTATTTTACTTATAAAAAAATCTTATATAATTAAATAATATAAATAAAATGTATAAAACTTCCAATGATACTTCATATAAAATTATTAGCTACTTTATTTAAATGCATTAGAAAAATTAGAGTTTAAAATAAAATGATTAAAAAGTCTGACTATTAACCTGTTGATCTTTGTTGTTTGCTTTTGCTTCTTTATTTTCCTTCAAGTTTATTTAAAAAATAAATTGCATTTCTGCAAACAGTACTTTTTAAATGCCTAGAAATGTCATTTTTTTTTAATGTTATGTTTCGAATATATAATGTAATGTAGCTGTTCTTATTGCTCCTTTCGATATTGGCCATGATATTACATCAATAAAGTGCACATACTTTACAGAAGATTTTTACATGTGTAATTCCATTCTCCTCAGTAGTTTCTGTACAAAAAATTTCTGAAAGATTCTTTTTTTCAAAAGTTTTTATAAAAAGTTATAAAGAAAATGAAAATGACATTAGGTAATACAAATAACTATCATAAGCTAGAAGTTTATTTAGCATTAAAAACACGTTGCCGTTATCTTTTTTTTAAAGCAGCTAGAAACAAATTAATGGCACACTAAATGATAGCCAGTCTAACTAAGTGTAATAATTTATTTACTTTAAAGTATGATGATTGTAGCCATATGTGTCTTTAATTTATTTCCAAATGAGGCCAGCATAAAACTTTCTTATCTTAATTATTTTCTTATAACAGTTATTAACTAATTAACATTTTAGTTGTGAGCAATGTAACAGTTCCCATTACCAAAGAAAGATCCATAAAATCATAGTGATTACAGGAAAAATATTTTTAGAAACAAGAAAAAATTAATTATGCTGAATAGTACTGTTTTTTTCTTAAGCATATGCTTTAAATAATATATTTTTGTATACATTTTTGTTAATATCATTGAGGAGGTAATTTGAGTTTAAATACTTAAGTAACCAAATCTGGCCAATCATTTGCAATATGACCTGTATAATAATTTGAAGTTATATCATGATATAACTTCAATTACTTTTAATTACAACCCTAATTGGCATGAATGCCAATTAGGGTTGAAATTAAAAGTAATATAAAGATCTGTTTTTATTTTGTTTCTTTCTAATAGTTGTTACAAGTTTCTTTTATTTATGATTACAATTTCACACTACTTTACTGTGCTCGAGCAAAGCAAAAAAAAAAAACTATAAACAGTATATTTTTTTAAAGAACTTGACTTTGGTAAAATACTTTGGTAAAGAACTTGAATTTGGTAAAATAATTGGTAAAACACGTGGATAAGATGGACCAAAGTCTCTTTTACACATCACCACTAAGAAATGTTTTGTAATTTTATGGTAAAATATTTGCCTGCTACTCGAAAACTTATTCATCATTTCTAATCAATGCACAATGGAGCAAAATAGCTTTAAAACCAGACAGAAGCAATTTGGTTTGGTTTGGATTTTTAAGTTAAATAATTGTTTTAAGGGCACTTGTTAGACAGGAAAAATTACTTCATAGATTTTTAAACATTTATTTACAATTGTGAGACGTTTTTAATGTATTTTTGAATAAATTTGAGGAAAGCTTTTAAAAAAACTGTTAAGTGATAATGAAAAATAGAAAAAAACAAAAGCTTGGATGAATAAATAATAATAAAACATATTCTAATCGATTCATTAAAATCAATTACATTAATTCGAATTTAATGTAAAAGGTCACTCAAATAAAGTTACTTAAAAATTCAATTAGTTTTATTCCTTTAAATTTGCTAAAAAACAAATCTTATACAAATAAAAGAACATCATTAGTTCACACATTCATGATCTGGTTTTGTTACCTGGTTTCTACTGATGTAATTGACACATATCTACTAATACACACAAAAGGGATTAATAAGCGCAAAAAAAAAAAGGGTTTTACAAACTGTAATCATCTGCATTTTTATTAAAAAAAATTTGAAACTGTATCTAAGTGAGGAAATGAACAAAAAGCACATTGTTTGAAAAAATTAAAAAAACTAAAATATTTTAAAGAACAATTAATATATATTTAAAGTACTTTAAAATTATTTTTTCATTAGCAAAAGATAGATGCAAACCTAATATTGAAGAACCCTTGAAAAAAATTTGGAATATTTAACAAATTTTAGCTTTAACACTATTAAAACAAAGTAACTCAATAACTTGCGTAATAACTCAAGTTTAAAAAAAAAATTGAGCTAAATTATAGGTTCTTCAGGGTTACAGGTAAGCCCTATCATTAAAAAAAACATGTGGATATGATGGACCAAAGACTCTTTTTTATTTTACCATCAAGAATTATATTATAACGCTTTTTTTTATTTTTTTCAAATGTAAGTTTTGAAGGCTTACTGTGCCATGTTGCGCGATGTTCTTTTTATGATCAATCTAAAAAGTTATTGATAATGGAAAAACTTTGAAAAAGTAAAAAAACTACTTTAAACACTAAAAAGTTATTTATTTTTATATTTGTTGAGCCTAATGTTGACTCAAGAGTCTTCCCTTCCCCAATCCCCCCCCATTCTCCTTAAAAAAGGAAGATTTCCTTTTCTTAAGGAGAATGGGGGGAATCAGGGAAGGGCAACAACCCCATTTACACACTAGTGAATTGGCCCCTGGGTCTTGCCAATTGATGATCAGGCAATACTTTAATTAACAAAAAATTATGCGAACTGTTTTAACTGTTTTGGTTTTAAATCTGGTTTTTTTAATTTTTTTTTAATTCCAATTTACTCCCATTAAAGCTGCAAGCAACCACTATCAAGTTGGGAGTTACTAGAAAAAAAAAGTTAAAGAGCAAGGAAATGGTTGACAGAAAAAGTTGTAGGTTGTATGAGCCAGGAAAGCATAAAGATGGGTTCCAAATAATTAAAGTGGTGAAAAAAATAAATAGTGTTTCTTATCCCATCCCATTTTTTTAGACCATTGCATGCTCTAAAAAGAATTTTCAGAGTATGCATAATAAAAAATCTAAACAATTTGTAATTAAAAATCCAACTAGTGGCATACCAATATTTGTGGCAAAACAACGATAGTCAAGCTTAGTCCAATATTGGCTTTACTATTATGTTAAACTATTTTTTCACAATTCAATAATATAAATCTTTTATATTACATTTGCATAATTTGTAAAGCAATAATTTTTAGATTGATGCAAAATATTTCAATTTGAAGTATTATATAAATACTTAAAGTATACATAAAATTTAAATGACACCTTTTATATAATGTTTTTACAATTTGTGGTATTTTATTTGCTATAAATTTAGGATAATAAAATATTTTAAATATTGTTAAAGTTTAATTTTCTAAAAGGCAAGTTAATTAACTTGCATTTTAGAAAGTGAGATTTTAACAATATTTAAAAAAAAAATTGTAATAAAAAAAATTATTTTTATTTCCTTTTTTTATAATTTAGGAAAAAAAACGATGTAAAAGATGAAGAAGCCTTAAAATCTACTATTAACATCAAAAGTGGTTCATTAGGGTATACAACACTGCATGATGCTGTTGAATCTAAAAAACCTAATGATGTTAAGAGATTACTTGATTTAGGGGCAGATGTAAATTTGATGGCAGATGGTGGATATACACCACTGCATCTAGCAGCATATATAGATGCATGCAGCTGCATTGAAGTACTACTTGATTATAATGCTGACACAAAATTATGTAATCAAGACAAACAAACACCTTATGAAATTGCAGTTTGTAACAATTGCGTTAATTCAGCTCAACTCCTACTAAGTCATGGTAAGTTGTTTTAATTTTAAATTAATTATAGTTTTTTATATTTTTTAATTTTTTTCAATTTAATTTAGTTTTTTATGTTTTTTGAACTATTTTGTCACAAATAACAATTTGAAACATTATAACATTGTATTCTCTTCATGCAAAGAGAATGATGTCAATATATGATGTCAATATATTACAAATAAAGTTAAAAGGCTTATTGGATCTTGAATTTCTAATTATTTTATAAAATAAAGTTTAATGTTTTAGAATGATAATCTGCATGATGATGAATCATCAAATTATCCAGATTTAAAATGTTTCGAATCATCAGTCCTACTTTTTATTTTATAACTTTTTTTTTACTTCTTTGACTATTGCGTTTTACAAAATTGAGTTCATATGCAAATATTTTGCTGTTTGGTATTTTGAATTTTTAAATAATTCTTGAGACAGCAAATTTAATATTGTTAAATTTAATATGTTAAACATTTTAAAAATATTTTAACTTCAATAAAATAACAATGCAAAAATTTTTATATTTATGTTATTTCAAATTGAAATAATAAATAGACTTATTTTGATAAAAAAAAGCACACTAAGAGTTACTTATCTAGATCAAAAAAACACTAAGATTTACTTATCTAGGTTGAAAAAACTCTAAAGCTTACTTATAAAATAAACAAATTTTTCTTCTCAAAAAAATGAAAAGACAGACATAGATTTATGTAGTTCTTAATAACACTTTAAAAATATTTTAACTTCAATAAAATGTGAAAAAACAATGGAAACATTTTTATATTTATGTTATTTCAAATTGAAATATAATAAATAAAAAAATTGTGAATTTTCCTGATGTCAGTTTTGATTATTCTGAAAATTCAAATATGACTTTCAAAAAACCAAATAATGAATTATTGTATACTAATATTAACTCAAACCATTCACTTTAAAGAGGGTGAATAAAAAGTGGGTGGGCTTACTTAAAAATAAGTGAGTTTTAAAAATAATGATAAATTCTCTTTGAAAAATACATTTTAAAAATAAAAGTAGAAGTGAACAATTATAAAGATTTCTTATCATAAGAGTGTCAACATATTCCACAAATATGTAAAATGTTACAGTAATTAAGACATTCAGGGTGTTAGCTAGGAAACATTTTTAAACAGTGATTTTATATTGCGAATTCAGGTGTTAAGCAAAAAAAAAAAAAAAAAAAATTTAGGCAAGTTCAGGTTCCACCTAAGTAAAAAAATTTGATATTTTTTAGATACATAATGATCTTTGAAATTATTTCTTTTATTTAGTAAGTTATATTCATAGCACAAATTTTTTTATATTTTATAAATGTTAAATTATAATTATTCAACCTGTTTCATTCTGAGAACAAAAAAAACCACATTAGCACACAGTGATTTTGTCATCATAAAATTATCTTTTTTTTTTTAATTTAAGGATATTTTAACTTTTTTAAACTACCAGAACACAAGTTTATTTTACTAATTAAGAAAAACAATTTTTGTACATTTTGTGATATGTCTATTTTATTTCAATTTTTTTTTTTGAATTTTAAATATTTAAATTTACTTTTTTTTATTATCATTTAACTTAAATTAATTTCTTTTCTTGATTTTTGTATTAATAAATTAAATTTTTTTTTTTTCCTTATTATTTTTTAGAATTGTAAAATCACAAATAATGATTTTTTACTTATAAAAAGTTAGTTTAAACAAAAAATATTACTAGTTGCAAAGTAAAAAACTCAAGTTAATTATACCAGCCCTTTTTTTTTGTGACAAAGTTTTAAGTTTCCGAGCACCATTGATCAAAAAATATATACCATTGCATTTTCACTTGCCTTTAGACAAAAAAGTTAAACCTACACTTTATGAGTATTTTTGATGCAGTGTTATAAGTTATATGTTTACAAGGAATTTAATTTTTTGTAAAAAATAGAAAAGGAGGAAGAAAAACCAAGAAAAAAAAACAAACTAGTTTTTTAAATTTTAAATAACTTTTTTAATCTTTCAAAATTCAAAGGAAATTTCTGTTTATGCATTTTTGATAGCACAGAATTTTTTAATTATATAAAGCTGATGTAAATTTTATAAAATTTTATTTTTCTAAGCTGCCATTTTTCATCATTTAATTTATCAAATTTATAAATATAAATAAATTTATAAATATAATCAAATTTACAAATATGAACAAAGTCATTGCAAGAGCTATATTGCTTCAAGCCTTCAAATTCAAGCAAAAAAAATTAATAATGCTATATCCATAAAAGAAGTTTTTTTTTTAATAAAAAAAAAAGCTTTTCATAAGATGTCACTTAAAGTTTGTAATAATGAATGTTTTTGATATGTTTCTTTTATGATTTCTATTTTTAAGCGTTGTTAAATATCTTTTTTTTCTTTTGCTGAACATTTTTGTTTCTTTTTCTAAACATTTTTGATGGAATAATAAAAATAAATTTTTCTTTGCTTTTTTCTTAACTAATTGTCAGGTCAGGTTATCCTGCTACATTGTCTGGTCAGGTTATCATGCTAAACACCCCCTGTCTTAGGGCTCTAGGTTGAGTAAAGGCTGGAGATGGCGTCTTGATAAAAATACTCATCTTGGACATATGTTAAATACATCCGGCTACTGTCTTGTAGAAGGCCTCCTGAGCAAAGGCTTAAGGGATAAACAGTTTTATCTGTTGACCAGCCTCGCACCCTTTCTTCATCTATTAGGCTGGCCCAGATGTATTCTTAATACATTGTTTCCAGTTTAGGATGTTGAATGCTGGATCTTCTTGACTCGATGCATGGATTTTACTTGTGTCTCTGTTTTTATGACTAGGCAACTTATTCTATTATCTCCTAATGAGGTTACAGCTCTAAAACTCAGTTTTATGGTTCTGAGGCCGGCTGGTAGTCAGGTTTTCCCGAATTCTGTGGTAGCTCTCAGAGAGGCTGATTCCATCAACAGCTAAAAAATATCAAAGTATTAACAGTGCCATGTTTGCGCATGGCCTTGGCAATGCACATCCATTTTGGTGTGGATTGCCAATTTTGGTGATCTTCGAAGTAACTTTTCTTCTGCTGAGTCTCTTATCTCTTGCAAAGTTCACTAGACCTTCTTGCTCTTTGTGAGACTAATTTGAGCTCAGCTGTCTCAATTTGTGATCTCAGTGTTGATGGTTATCTTCCTTTAATTTTTAAAAACTTCAATAGTCACATGCTAGACCTGGGCACTTATATTTGTAAGAATTCACCCATTTGTCGGGAAACTAGGTTTGAATCCACAGACTACTCTTTTATATGCTTTCGTTTAGCACAATTTTTATCCTATGGCCTTTCTCTTTGTTGTATATTGCTCTCCTTCATCTCAAGACTGCACTCTTTTTGATGTTATTTTTGATCATATTGACCTCTGCAGAAATCTTTTGTCTACCTGTTGACAAATGTGCTTCTTACATAACTTTGTGGATTCAGGCTGGCATGGAATCTTTTATTCCCTCTCGGCGATTCCAGGTCAAGCGTCACTCTTCTCAATGGTTTTCCTCACATTGTGCTATTTTTATGTAAATTTTATGCGATTGATATTAAAACAATTTTGTTTATCTGATTTTAAACTTACAGTTTTAATTTTTTCACTAGTTTCTTTCAAACGATAGATTTTTTTGTTAGTTAAAGTAGCATAAATATGAAAATATTAAAAACATTAAATCATTAATTGTTGCTGATGATATTACCATTTATTCTTGTCATGCTTAGAAGCCAACACTCTCTGATTGCTTGAAGTGGGCATTTGAGCTTGAAAAGGATCTCACTTCTGCTACTGCATAGGGGTACACAGTGGCTGGTGAACTTTAATTCAGATAAAACTCTTTTTTTTTTCAGCCAATTGTTATCGCAATAATTTAGATCTTCCTATATTTATCAACAGTAATGTACTCCATCAGTCATCTACCCTTATCTTTTAGGATTAACTTGTCCGATTTTCTTGGAAACCTACTCTACTAAGGTTGCATCTCTTTATCAAGCTCAACACTTTTTTACTCTGAACTCTATTCTCTATCTCTAAATCTCAAATCTGGCCTTGTATGAAATACTGTTGCCATATCTGGGGTGGATCTTCTAATGATGCCCTTTCTTTTTTAGACAAAGTGCAAAAATGCATTATAAACGTAGTTAGAATTGCTCTTGCAGCCAATCTTCAACTATTTTCACATTTGTGTAATGTTGCTTCTCTTTCTCTTTTCTACAAATACTATAGTGGGCACTGCTCTAAAGAGCTAGCATCTTTTATGCTATCTACTAAAATTCATTCTTGTTACTCGTCATTCAGATAAGTCTCTGTGACTGTACCTAAGTGCTCTAAAAACTTTTATTTGTCTATTTTTTTTCCAGTTCTTTGGAATTAGTATTCATCTTCATCTTGCTTTCCTGACTCAAATAATTTGCAATATTTTAAGTTGTCTGTCAATCGTTATCTTGCTCTACAATCCTCATCTTTTCTCTTCCATTAACTTCCAAATCTAATTAGTGGTTGCTTGCAGCTTTGTTGGAAGCAAAGATGTATATATAAAAAAAAAAACTAATTACATTTGTAAAATATCAAACTTATATTTTATGTAAAAACACTATCTTTAGATTTTTTAAAATATTAAAAAATGATAAACGTAGCTTGACCAAAATGGCATACAACTTATGTTAAATGGCTTAGCACATTTGTAAATGGCGTGCCAGTTTATGCTTCAAAACAAGGCTTGTAGTGTATGGAAAGTTTTCATATATTTAAGTTTTAAATTTATATTTTTAGTTAGCTTTTATGTGTTTTTGTTTAGCACTACTTCACTCTGTCGCTTTTCTCTTTGTTCTAAATCGCTCTCCTTCATCTTAAGGCTGTACTCTTTTTGATGTTATTTCTGATCATGTTGATCCAGCCCTCACTCTTCATCCATCAGCCAATATTATTGTTGTTAATATTTTTATGTGCTAATTTTAAATAAGTTTATAGTGTTTTAAAATTACTTTAAGTATGATATTTAAGACTTTCTAATGTCAGTGAAAAAATTTATTTAAGTTGTAAATTTATTAAAACTGTAAAAATATTTAAATATAGCTTTTTAATGAGAAAGTGTTTCATAACTCGATGATTTTGGTTGAATAGAATGTTAGTTAAAATAATTTTTCTCGCAATATGCTATTTTAAAACTAATTTAAATAAGTAACAAAGGTTTATCTAATATCAATATTTAGTATACTAGGTATTTAAATTAAAAAACATAAAATATCAGAGTACTAACAGTGTCCTGTTGTTCATGGACGATGTCCCTGTTTGTACTTTTAGTGTGCATTGTTGATGCCACATTTGGAGCTCTTTTGTATGGTTTAGGGTTTATTATTAGTAAAGATGCTTCTTCCTGCTGAAAAATGTACTCTTTATGTATCTTCTTGTATTCAGGCTGGTATTGAATACTTTTTTCCCTTCTCAATAATTTCAAGTCAAGCCTCACTCTTCTCCATAGTTTTTATCTTATTGTGTTGCTGCAATTTCCAATCATAATCATTACTTCCATATCTATCACCAAAGCAACTCTTTAGAAAACAGGCATCTGTTTACTATTTCTGGTAAAAGGGATTTATTTTATGCCAAAGTCCACAATTCTAAAGTCATAAAGTCTCATATTTCATCTCAAAAGTCAGGCTCCAGAGAATCTTTAACATTATCTATAATAATGGCAAACCTGCTATTCCACTTCTCTTGCATGGTTCAGATTTTTTTATCATACCTACTTTATTAAAAACATCTGTTGATTTCATTAATCACATCCTACATCATAAAAATGTTTGCTAATAACTTTTGATCTCATCTATTGATTTCACTAGTAACATACTGTTAATTTTTTTTTTCAACATCTTTACTTCCAACAAGACTGCAAGCAACCACTATTAAAGTTGGAAGTTACTGTCCAAGGTTTGTTTTGAAGTTATAGAGTTAGAAGAGAGTTGTATTAACATAGTTAAATTAACATTAAAAAAAAATGTTATGTCAGCAATTTATTGTCTTTTTTTTTTAATTTGGTTTTTTTTTTTAATATTTTCATATTTATGCTACTTTAACTAACAAAAAAATCTATCGTTTGAAAGAAACTAGTGAAAAAATTAAAACTGTAAATTTAAAATCAGATAAACAAAATTGTTTTAATACCAATCGCATAAGATTTACATAAAAATAGCACAATGTGAGGAAAACCATTGAGAAGAGTGACGCTTGACCTGGAATCGCCGAGAGGGAATAAAAGATTCTATGCCAGCCTGAATCCACAAAGTTAGGTAAGAAGCACATTTGTCAACAGGTAGACAAAAGATTTCTGCAGAGGTCAATATTTTCATAAAAATAACATTTAAAACATTAACTAGTTAATTAAAACAAGTATGTCAAGTCAACCAGTTTTGTAAAAAGTTTTGTGAATTCATTTTTGTAAATATGCCATCTTGACTCAAAAAAAAGTAACAATGGTTAGAAAAAAACATGAGACGCAAAACTGTAAATTTAAATTCTGATTTAAAATATTAAAAAAAAAAAAAAACAAGTTTTCTATCTATTATTTGCTCAATTTTCGAATTATACTTACAGTGAATCAAAAATTGTATTTTAAATACAATTTTTGTATTTAAAATTAAGTTTAAAAGTTAAGTCTTTAGTGTGTGTTTCCAATTTAAAAATATTTGTAAAAATATTTAAAATAAATTTTTATATTTCCAACAGATATTCTAACATGTCTAAAGCAAAAACGCAATTATGAATTTTTTAAATACCTAAAAACAGTTGGTTGCAAGAGTGTTACTCCTGATTGTTTTGATAAATGTCTAAAATTAGCAGTTGAAGAAGACAACTTTGCTGTAATAGGAATTATTTTGCTTCGGAAACCTCATAATGCAAAAGAATGTTTGATTGATGCACTAAAAAATGAATTATATTCTAAAAGCACTCTTATATTGTTATTATGTTATGCTGTTGAAAAACACTTTAATGATGTAATCAAAGTAATATTTGAGAATAAAGATTTGGAGTCAAACAAAAATCAATTGGTAAAGTGCGACATTCAAATTTCTGCTAAAAGTTTGCATCATCTAAAGTATTTTTATTCATTTATAGATTATTTTGCTTTTTTATCAGGGTATTTTTTTCCCTCCCCCCCCCTCCCTTTATGTATATATAGTCTTGCGTGGTATTCAGAGTTTTTTTTTCATAAAGAGACAGAGAGAGATTTATACTTTTTATTTAATATTTTATATTAAATATACAATATATATATTTATATATTAAAATAATATAGTAACAACTATATTTTATTAATAATATAACTAATATTAATAATATATAACTTTTACTTAATAACAACATTATGAAAAAAAGTTAGTGAAAAAAAAAAAATTATTAAAACAACATTGGTTATGTGGTGTTGGTATGCGGTGTTGGTCACTGTTGGTTTTTAATTTAAAGGAACACAACTAAACACTAATATACTGAATATATATATATATATATATATATATATATATATATATATATATATATATATATATATACATATCTTATACTGCTGAGTTAGGTGAGCATGATGATGTCATACTCACCTAATGTCAAATAGCCTGCTGCCGGGGGCTTCAGTACATACATCGACTGACAAATAGCCTGACTCGCCGTGGAGTGCTGCTACATCGACTGAGGGTTTGGTATGGGTCAGCAACATTTTCATTCATTATTCTTCGTTTTCCCTCTTCGTTTTCTAAAAATGCTCACTTAATTTAGGCTAGCAAAAAAAGTGAGCAACTGCGCATATAAATATGCTATAGTAGATATGTATATATATATATATATATATTTTATAAAACTAATATATATATATATATATATATATATATATATATACATATATATGTATATATATATATATATAAATATATATATATATATATATATATATTTATAAATATATATGACATATATATTTATAAATATATATATATATATATATATATATACATATATATATATATATATATATATATATATATATATATATATATATATATATATATATATATATATATATATATATATATATATATATATATATATATATATATATATATATATAGTATTAAGTATATAAGTATATATAGTCTTGTGTGGTATTCAGAAAGTTTTTCCCATAAACTAAAGCTTTAAAAAGTGTGTTAATAAAACCAGACCAGAAAAAGTTCAAAAATTTGAATAATTTTTTTTTCTTAAATGATAGACTGCCTGCCCAAACCAAACCCTCAGTCAAAGTAGCAGCACTCCCTTGCCAGTCAGGCTATTTGACAGTCGATGTAGCAGCACTCCCTTGTCAGTCATGCTATTTATCACTCCCTTGCGAGTCAGGCTATATTCAGTCAATGTAGCAGCACTTCGTTACAATTCAGGCTATAAGATAGTTGAAGTAGTAACACTCCGTTGCGAGTCAGGCTATAAAATAACTGATGTTGCAACACTCTCCGCATGTTTTAAAAATATATTTTAATAACGACAAAAATACCATTAATTTAAAAAAACTTTTTAGCCATTATTATTGCATTTTTTTTTTTTTAAACAATAAAATTTAATGTACTTTCGCATTAATTTAATTGCTTTGACATTTTGACAACAATAAAATGTAGCTTAATTGTGGAGTTGGCAAAATTGTAATCGAAAAAGACTTTTTTTACCATAAAAGTTTCTTTTGACTACGATATAACGATATAAATATATATACATAAATAAATATATATATATATATATATATATATATATATATATATATATATATATTCACATCTTCGCCTCTAACTTCAACAAGACTTTAAGCAACCACTATTTGAGTTGAAAGAAAACGAGATAAAGTTTATAGAGCAAGATAATGATTGACAGACAACTAAAAAGATTTATATAATTAAAAAATTGTATGAATCAGGAAAATAAGATGAAGGTAGTAAAGTCAGAAGAACTGATGTTCGAGGCAAAAATTCAGAAGAACTGATGTTCGAGGCAAAAATTCAGAAGAACTGATGTTCGAGATGTTCGAGGCAAAAAAATAGATAAGTAAGAGTTTTTGAGCACTTTAAAGTCACAGTAAAAGGGTGAGACTTAATTGAGTGACAAGTAACACAAAAATAAATTTTAGTAGATGGCACAAGAGACGCTAGAAAAGAGAAAGATAAGGAACATTACAACAATGTGACAATGGTTGGAGGTTTGTTGCAAGAGCAGGTCTAATTATATTTATAATGCATTTTTGCATCTTGTCTCAAAGAGAAAGGAGATCATTGGAAGATCCGCCACAGATATGGTAACAGTAATACATACAAGGATGGATTTGAGATTTATAGAGATAAATTATTATTTTTCTAATTATTTATTTATCTAGATTTAAATTTAATTATTTATAATCGTTATTAATACTAAAATATTTATTTTATGGATGGAAGAAAAAATAGCATTGCCTATCGTAAAACAAGGAAAAATATTTTGTAACATTTTAATTTGTAACAGTTTAAGCATTTAGTTGAAAGGACAAAGGACAATTAAATCTACAACAAGCATTTCCACTTCTCTTAATTTATTTAAGCGCACAGTTCAAAATCTTGTCATTAAGTTAAACAGAGGAGAATTCAACGACATTTGAGACGTGCATTCTGACTGCATTCAAGACGTTTTCTGATAAAAAATGAAGTAAAAGATCTATAAACGCTAAAATAAAATATATTATTGATAATATTAAATATATTTATTATGCCTACAAGAAAACAATCTTTGTATTCAAGAAACAATAAAAGAAAATCTGCAGCAGGCAGATATTATTATAATAAAATTTATAATTTTATATTTCGATATTTATGTTTATAATTTTATATTTAGATATTTATACTTATTTTAGGATGTATGATAAAGATGTATAATAATTTTTAAAATTTCATTTTGTTATGTATTTATAAAATTTTATTTATTATATGTGTTTAAAAATTTTATTTATTATATGTGTTTAGCAATTTCATTTATTATATGTAATTTTTAATTGTTGAAGATGCACAATTCAGATGAAAAATTATATGCTTCCCTTGTTTGGAAAGTTTGGTTTTTAAATGCAGTAGTAATTTAGTTGTAGAGTGTTCGCTTTTGTATCTCAGAGTTAAAGAGTTGCGAGGATTTTAGTAATAACAAAAAAGTTATTCTTTTCAATTGTAGTGGCCCTCTTGACTCTGACAAATTGTAGTGGTCCCCTTGGACCTGATGAATTGTAGTAGCCCCCTTGGTCCTGATGAAAAAAATTCTCCTTAAATTGCATCTTTTTTTTAATGTTGTTTTTCATTCTATTAAGTTTTGATTTAATGAAATCTATTGATTTCATTAAATCCAAACTTAGTTTATTGATATTGAACATTTTTACTTTATTCTGCATACCTTTAGGTTATATTAATGATTTTATAAGTGTATAATAAATTGCATTTGAAATAATTGGCTCAGACTGCTCTCACAGTTGAGTCTGAGAATCTTTCTGTTGCTTAGTTACAAGTACCTAGTTTGTTACCTTTATCTCTTTAGTTTAACATTATTTTATTTTTTTAAATAGCATAATAGTTTAAAAAAAACTTATTAAACAAAATTTATGTTTTTCTTTTTTTAAGATCATTTGTAAGCAATGACAAAGTGTTTGCTTACCTAGTAAGCATTGGATGTAATCATATGGTAAAAAATTACAAAGGTGTTGAGTATATATTATTGAACATGTTTTGCGATAATAAAAATCTTAAAGCTTATTGGAAAGGACTTCTGCTACGTTTTCTTCATAAAGATTGGTTTAAAAGTTTAATAGGCTTTAAATATGTTATCCTTTCTTGTAATCAAATTAAAAACATACCAACTGGTGTATTGAGTTATCTTGAAGCTGTTGAAATATTAAATCTTAGTTTAAATAATTTACAAGAGGTTCCCTCTGAATTGTTTAGGCTTCCCAAACTTTACAGTCTAAATCTTTCATCAAATCAATTGAGACACCTGCCTGATGTTAAAGAATGGTCACCATTTCTTACAACATTATTTCTTACAAAAAATTTATTGGAAACTTTCCCATTGCATGTAGAAGAACTTAAATTAAAACACTTATTTTTATCAAATAATAGATTAAAATGTTTTCCTGAAAGTATATGTAACCTGATATGTTTAGAAACTCTTGATATTAGTCAAAATGTTGATATAAACACCTTACCACAAAGCATAGGAAACTTATCAAAACTTACTCAATTAGATTTGATTGGCTTAGAGGTAAACTTTAAAATATTTATACAAATACAAAAATATCTATCTATATATATATATATATGTATATATATATATATATATATATATATATATATATATATATATATATATATATATATATATATATATATCTATCTATATATATTTATATATATATATATATATATATATATATATATATATATATATATATATATATTATATATATATATATATATATATATATATATATGTATATATATATAAATGTATATATATATATATATATATATATATATATATATATATATATATATATATATATATATATATATATATATATATATATATATATAATATATATATATATATATATATATATATACACACATTCTTGCATGGTTGTTTTTGAAATTTTACCATAACATGTAAATTGAATAAAAGTGCTAAATTTAGCACAAACTAAAAATGTTATTTTTTTCTTCTATCTTTCATTTTTTCTATGTTTACTAATAAATATTATGTTGTTGATAAATATATTGTTGTATAATATAAATTTTATTATTTTAGTTATAAATAAAAAAGGTACTGTTTTTTTCTATTTCTAGATTAAAAATCTTCCACCTCAGTACAAAACTACAAAAGATATTTTGAATTATTTAAAAGGAAAACTACGACACTCAAAACCTTATTATAAAATGAAACTAATGATTATTGGGTTTCCACGACAAGGAAAGACAACTCTGCTTAAAAGACTTAAAGATGACACTAATTACAACATGGATCAAGCAACACACGGTATGTTGAGTATTATTTTTTTAATTAGATTTACCTTCTAAGGCTTTGAAATGGTGCAGAAGTTTCATACCCAGGATGATAAATTGTGTATTTACTTGGCTCTTCTCATGAAACTATGCAAATTTTTCTGTTATCTCCTAATGTTCTTAATCTTTGTTTAATAGTTCTGAGGCCTGCTGGTAGTACGTTTTCCCAAGCATTAAGGTAGCTCTCATTGAGACTGATTCCATGAACAGTTATAAAATATCAGAGCATTTACAGTGCTGTGTTGCACATGAATGGTGTCCCATTTTGTGCAACACAGCACTGTAAATTTCGAAGTTTGTGCTTTGTCAAGGCTTTATTAGGAGCATTTAATTACGACTTTTGTTTAATTAACAAAATTGAGACAACTGAATAGCTCATTGCAAGCTTCAAAAATCATAATTGAGTAAAAGTTCTCTTTAACTTAAAACATGACTAAAGTACCTCAAAATATTAAACATAAAAATACCATCACCACTAGCTAACTGTTTCAATCAAAATTTTTTACAAAGTGGTCTTTAAAGTAATTGCTCAGCAGTTAAATCTTTTAATAAACCTCTTACTTAATAAACTTAATAAATCTCTTGCAAAATTAAACTTGCTCTTTGTGAGACTAATTTGAATTCTGCTGTTTCAACTTTATATCTCAATAGTAATGACTAGTATCCTTTGAATCCTAAAATCTTTAATAGTCAATACTTAGCCTGGGTATATATATTTTAACATACCTTTAATATATTTCAACTATATAAAAAATTTCAATGTTTAAATAAGATGTATGACATCATACTAAAATGCTGTGGAGGGCTTCAGTACATACATTGACTATCTCAAAGCAAACTATTGGAGGTTCATAAAAAAATTTTGAAACAAAGGAGTTAACATAAAATATAGAAACTAGGTCGGCGTTTTTTTGCCAACCTTAAACACTTGTAGGCCGACCCCAATTCCGAGGGCTGATGGTGTTGCTTCTCCAATGTTAGATTTAGTTGTAGATATGTATGCTGCATTTTACTCTTGGATTGAGAAATGACATGATTATGTTTTGTTATCAGATTTAGAGAAAAAACCACTTGCATATCAAGCTACTATGTTAAGTTATACGTTTTCTTAAGAAACTCGAAACATTCTTGAATCATTAAGTCTAACCAAAGATCAAAAAATAGACCCTTTTGTTATATTAGAGAAAATAAAAGTCTTTGCCGTGGGTATTATTAATGAAACTTTGGAAAGATAAATATTTTAAATGTTTTCAAGAAGATGGTGAATATTTTAATGACTTCTTGACAGAAGCAAAATTGTTAAATTAAAACTGTAATTTTTGTAAAACGAAAAAGAGATAAAATTGTATCTGGGATACGATGTGACAAAGTACGAGAAAAATTACTTTCTGAAAAGACGTTCACATTAGATAAAGCAGTAGAAATTTGTTGTTCTTCCAAAAAAGCACAAGAGGGTATATCTGAATTACAAAAAAATAAAAAATGAAAATGTTGACCGGAATGGACAACAATTATACAACAGAATAAAGTCTAACTTACAGACAAAGAACACTGGCAATGGAAGAGACTTTAGTTTAAATTAATTGGGGTGTAAATTCTGTTTAAAAAAGCATCCTTTTAGTTGAGGATTATGTCCAGCATGGGGTAAAAAATGTAGAGACTGTAAAATTAAGAATCATTTCTCAAATAGCTGAGTTTGCCTAAAAACAAAATCAAATATTTATTAACTGATCAGCAGAACAAAATAAAAAAAAATTTTAACCTCGCAGCAGCATTTAGGAGCATTGTATTTAGGAAGTGTGAAATCTGATTTTGCACAATTGTATCGGATTAGTTCTGTGCCCGCAGGACCTTGGTAAATACAACTAAAAGTAAAAAATGGTATAATAAAATTCAAAATTGACAATGGTGCTAAAGTTACTGTTATTGGACCTAACCATTAAAAAAAGTTTGGAATTACAATTAATCAATTGCATACTAGTGACAGATAATTATTAGGTCCTGATCATAAACCACTAAATTGCTTAAGATCATTTACAATCAATGATCAGTACAGTTGAATGTACAGTACAGAATGTGAAAACTGCTTTATTAGGTATACCTGTCTTACAAAAGTTTAACCTAGTCAGAATAGACATTCCTGAAGGATTTATTTGTGGTTTAATTAAAATAACAAAAATTACGTAGTAGAACAGTTTCCTTCAGTATTCAATTGGTTGGGAACAAATAAAGGTGACCCTGTACATATTGTGGTACGTGAAAATGTGACACCATACTATATTGGAGTATTGCAAGAAGTAGCATTTCCACTTCTAGAAACGTTAAAGTTAGAACTGGAGTGTATGAAAGAGATAGGTGTTATCAAAATAGTAGATCAACCTACTGACTGGTGTCATCCGATTGTAGTTGTGAAAAAACTTAATGGACAACTTCGTATTTGTACTGATTTGACACAACTAAATAAAGATACAAAACGCGAATTCTATAAGTTAAAAAGTGTAGATGGTACATTGGCCCTATTAGGAAAGTGGTGTAAATATATGGCTAAATTAGGCGCTAACTCAGGGTATTGGCAACTACCCATGGGTTCGGAAAGTCAGTTAAAGTGTACATTTACCGCACCTTTTGATTGTTTTTGCCCAACAAGAGGTCCGTTTGGGTTAACATTGCTTCCAGAAATATTTAGTAAAAAAATCGATCACATAATTGATGGTTTTAAAGGAGTCATAAAAAGTATGGATAATTTTTTAGTTTTTGGAAATACAGAAAATGAGTACAATCAAAATATAGTTGCTAAGTAAATTTGCGTATCATAGAGTTAGCCTTAATTTAGAAAAGTGTTTATTTAATCAAAGTAAAGTGAAATTTTTAGGATATAAAATTTTAGCAGAGGGTGTGAAACCTCTGAGCAAAAAAGTTGAAGCAATACAAAATTTCCTGAGACCAACAAATATTACAGGTTTGCATAGTTTCTTAGGTATGGCTCAAAAGCTATCAAAATTTAATCCATTACTCGCTAAACTAGCTCAACCTTTGCAAGATCTTTTAAGTTCAAAATCGGCATGGGTATGGACAGAAAATTATACTAAAGCATTTGATGAGATTAAAAAAAGTTTTAGCACACTATGATGTGACAAACCAATAAAATTGATAACAGATGGAAGTTTATTAAACGGACTTAGTGTAGATGTTTATTAGTATCACGATGGGGTATACAAACCAATTGATTGTGCATCTAGATTTTTGACAAAAACAGAAAAAAATTATTATCCAATCGAAATAAAAATGCTAGTTTTAACATGGTGGTACATGGGGATGTCAAAGTATTTGTATGGATTACCAAATTTTATTTTAAAAACAAATCACAAACTTTTAATTTCTATATTAAATCATTGTTCGCTTACGAGATGTTGCCAAGAACTCAATGATTAAGAATGAAATTGTTAAGAATTTACTTTACTGCAGAGCATGTTGCTGGCAAGTCAGTTACGGGTGCTAATGCAATGTCTTGTGCACCTGTATTGCAACCTACAAAGGACGGCGAAATTGCAGAAAGTGATCTGAACATATACGTTAATTTAATAATTAAAAGTATGCCAGCGACAGAGAGTCGATTAGAAGAAATTAGGTAGAAAACTGAGGAGGATGAACTTTTGCAACAACTGCAAGATAGTAGTTTCTGGATGGCCAAGTTCGAGAAAATATTGTTCAACCAATCTTCATCCTTATTGGAATTTTAAAGTTGAAATAGTTAAAATTGATGGTCTCTTGATGTATAAAAAATGAATAATAATCCCAGTTAGTATGCAAAAAGTAATACTTTCAAAATTGCAAGAAGGTCATTTAGGAATGGAAAGGTGCAAAGGTCATGTACATCAGACAGTTTTTTAGCCAGGTTTAAATGACCAAATTGAACAGTTAATCGAAAAGTGTGAAGCATACATGAGGTATCTTCAATCAAAACCAAAAGAACTTCTGCTAACTTATAATGTTCTAACTTGACCATGGCAAAAAGTTGAAACAGATTTGTTTCAGTGGGCTAATAAAAATTACTCAATTATTGATGATTATTTTAGCTTGTGGCCGGAAGTTTTTAAAGCTTTGAAATACCAATTTGGTAAATGTAATATTAGCATGCAAAGAACCATTTTCTAGAAATGGTGTCCTGGAGGAATTGGTTTTAGATAATGGTACACAGTACACTTCAAAATTGTTTCATCAATTTTCTCAACAGTGGCAATTTAGGCATATAACAAGTAGTCTGCACTACCCAAGATCAGTTGGCTTAGCTGAAGCCACTGTTAAATCAGTTAAACTTATGATAAAATAGTGCCACATGTCAAACAAAGAAACTTTTAAAGGTATTCTAATATGGTACAATACTCCATTAAAGTGTGGATTATCTCCAGCAGAACTACTACATGGACAACAACTAAGAGATAACCTACCTAGATTTCAAAATTAAAATAAGAAGCCATATAAGAGATCTAGAGACAAAAAACTACCATCATAAAAATGTTCATACTTTAGCACCATACTTTTTCAAGCAAGGCCAAAATGTGGCAATTCAAGATGAAATAACTTGCGAATGGATTCTTAGAGGTAAAATAATGAAGTACGTAGCCCCTTGATCATATGAAGTCAAATTAAATCACAACAAAAATGTCTCCGTCAAAATCAAATTCATCTTAGAAGATTATACACTTTTTTTTTTTTTTTTTAATTCTATTTAGGTGCCCCAAGAAGTCCTTACGGTCTTATCACAAAGCACCCCGGATGAGCATTTAATCAGAAGTTCACGCCTCCTTCCTAACTGATATCGCAAAACTTGCCTAGAGGGTGGTGTTTGAACCACGGATTCTTTGTTTCTGAGGCAAGTGCGCTACCACTGCGTCACAGCTGCTATACTATATTTGCTCCACACAGGACTTGAGAAAAGAATAATAGCAGAAATAAAAAATATTTTAGATGAGA